GAATCCCATCACTTTGAACCTAACAATTATAATATACTAAGAATTCCCATATTCTGAATATTTATGAAGACTTCAAACCAACTTTCTTTAGAAATCTATAAACAATTTGAACTCATTGCAACTTTGTCAAAAGCCTAAATTATTGTTAGATATTATGGATTTTGTAGCTCTGGCTGGAACTCAGTATGTAGACCAGGCTGGCCTTAAACTCACAGAGTCTGTCTCTTGTCTCCCAAGTGCTAGGCTTAAAAATGTGGGCCACCACACCCACCATAACATATTATATGATAAGAGCTGAATATGGAGTAACAGTTAACAATATAAAAGAACCCTGAGACCTACCTGGATCCAGGTAGGCAATGGAGGGAGAGAGGCTTCTTTGGGACTTGGCGGAGGGGAAACCCCGTCAACACTGCTGTATGAAATGCTATCAATATCCAAACTAGGCAACATCTACAACAGAGCAGAACAGCAGGCTTTCTGTTTACCATGAGGACTTAAGTAACTGTCAAAATAGACACCAAAACATGTCCTTTAAATTGTTACTGTGACTGATACTCTGAATTATGAAAACATATTATACAAAATATTTAAAAAGAAAAACACAAAATTCTGTCTCAAGATAACTTCACATCTACCACCTATATTCTTTCTGTTTACTGCCCATTTAAGCAAGGTAAGTCTTCTCAGACCTGATTTTTTCATTGTTATTAGGTCATAAATACCTTATTCTGTTTCTTTGTAGACTTTATATTTTAAATAACTGCATAACATTTCAAGGATCATACATTCCTTAATTATTTAATCACATCCTTATTGCCCGTTTTTCCCACTGTTACACACAGATTACAACAACAAAATAAACTCCAATATCTTCATACATGCAGTATTGTCTTCCCAAACTCTGAATTGCTGCATCATGTTAGATAGATTTTGATTAACTTTTTGAGCCACAGTGCATGGATACTCAATATTCTTTATAGTTACTGGCAAAACACTATCCAATCTGTTTATATCATCAAAAACATAATTCCAAGTTTTATCCAATCCTCAATTAAAATTGGCAGTTTTGCAACAGCAATAATTAAATGGGAGTATTATTGTCATTATTTTAATTTTCATTATCTTAGCTACAAGCAAAACTTGCATTTAATTTCCCCTTTATTAAACTGTACTTAACCCTCTTGTAGACTCTCATTCATGGATTGGGTTACACCTGGATTTAGATCGTTTTCTTATAACTTTGTATTTAAAAACAAATTCTTCATCAGAATCTTCCTTTCATATGTTCTCACTGTAACTATTGTCCTTTTTAGTTAAATTTCTTTAACATATATAACCTTTAGATTTTAAGTTCAACTCTCTCTTCCCAATTATATCTAAAGTATTTACTTTATTTCAATCCAATATCCAGAATTTGCTTCAGTTTTAATAAAAATTCAATGAAATTATCTTCAAATTTTTATGATTTTTTTATTTTATAATTTAGACTGGCCAGTTTGGAGCTCACTTACTATATAGTAAGAATTTGGAGTCTAAAACCAGTTTTTTCTTATGTCATTAAGCTAAATACAACAAACATTATTTCACTTATATGAATCCTACTCTCATTAACATAACAAGTCTCTACCGCGTTCTGTATTCTTTTTAAGTAACAAAGCTAATTCTGAAATCCCATTATACTGGTCTAGTAACTGATGATGCTTGGCCTTGAACTTGCTCTGTAGTTGAGGATGACCTTGAATTCCTGATCTCTTGGCCTCTCCCTCTCAAATATTGGCTCAAATAAGTCACCATGCCTGGCTCATAACAAAACTCTTTATTTTCCTAAAACCTTTATTCTTTCAGATATCAAAATTATCCTAAAGTTCAAGGAAACAAAAGCTTATGATATTTATAAAAATTAGCATTTTGATAAAATTTCACATTAAATTGGGAAGAGTTAATTTGAATAGTTTTCATTCATGGCTTATGACTGGATAAAATTTGAAGTATATTAGTCACACCCTTCATTAACTCTATTGTTTCTTTTATTGTATGTTTTGGTTTATTTTAGTTTTTTATTTACTTGTTTATTATTGAGGCAGTGACTGCCTGTGTAGAACCATCTGACTAGCTAGCTAGAAACTTGCTGGGTAGATCAGGCTGGCCTTGAACCTGTGGCAATTCTCCTATGGCTGCCTCCTAGGCTTGGACTACAGGTATGTACCACCATGCCAGGCACAGTAATTCTTTTTAAAAGGTAATTATAGTACTCTGTTCAACCATCCCTTTAGAATATTGTCCAGTCACTTTGATATGGACCACTGACTCAGAAGAGGAGCTGTGGAACAAGGACAGAGGCATCACAGGTTTGCAGTAATAAAGGAACCTTAATGAAAGCAAAGTCTTCATAAAGTTACATAATCGATGTTAGGTACTAATAGCTTAAGTCTGTTACTTTGGCAGTACAGTTGGGGTGTACAAGCACACCCCCACATACCTGCACAGAGAGCTGAGGGGGGTCCTTCTTCTCTGATTTCATTTCTACAACTGCTATATTAGGTTTCTTGACTCCAGCTTCTCCTTTTCGAGATGATGGAGGAATGAAAGTAGTCACAGCTACAGAGTGTGGCTTGTTTACCATTACTCCAGCAGCTGGTGCAGAATCACTATTACTTTGGGTTTGTCCTGTGAAAAGCAGGGTAAAGAATGAGAACTATTCCTAAGATAAAAGGAAAACTCAAATTTAATGCCTGGACCTTTGTGACAGCTCTTGCACACAAAAGGAAAGCAGTGTCTCCCAAGCACCTCTCTCTTCAACATCACTGTCACCATGTCATCACACATATGCTCACATGTAAGCCTGTTAACTGTTGCCAGCAATTAGTTATTTGTATGTAATTCCCACTTCATATACTATCATAATCTTAAAATAATGGTTACTATCTCCATATTTCAGAAAGTCCTACTTGTTTTTTACATTTCAAAATAAAAAGTATTTTAAAAAGGAAGTTACAGAAGATACTAGACAATAGAAAGGCATTCCATTAATATTGTGAAATGACTATACTACTAAAATTCATTTTCAGATTTAATGCAATATCTACCCAAATTCTAATGTCATATTTCACAAGTTTAGAAAAGGCAATAGAAGAACTCATTTGTAACTACAAAAGACCATGAATCAAAAAGGGATTCTATAAAGTAAGCACTCTGTGGAGATATTACGATACCCAATCTCAAATTATACTACAGAGCCATGGTGACAGAGACAGCCTGGTCCTGGCATAAAAATAGACAGGTAGAGTGATGGAATAGAAGAGAGGATCCTGAAAAAAAGTGGCTATCCTCACTTAAATTTGACAAAGGAGGCAAAAATGTACACAGGAAAAAGATCTGTTTGAACAGGTACAGGTCACCAAGTTGGCAAATTCACTCATAAAAGTATCTCTCTGGGCTAGAGAGAAGTTCAGAGCACTTGCTGCTCTTATATGAGCCAGTGTTCAAGTCCTAACACCCACATCAGGTGGCTCATAACTACCTACTTATATAACTCCAGTTCCAGGGGGAATGAATGCCTTCTGGCCTTCACCGGTCTATGTACACATGGTGCACATAAACTCATACAGGCACACACACAAACACACAAAAATATGTCCTTTTTAAAAATGTATTTGGGGTTGAAGAGATGGCTCAGTGGTTAAGAGCACTTGCTGCTTACAGAGATCTGGGGGTTCTATTCCCAGCACCCACAGACATGTAGTTTTCATGCCTTTTGTTCTTGAGTGAAGGTATATGATGTCACACTAGCATATCTGTCCAAGTTTTAATAGACGGACTCATAAAGACCTCATATAAGGAAATAACCAACTATTCACCTAGAATATATGACCACCTAGCTTTCACTCATGACAACCTGGCTCAAAAGTACATAAAAGTGCTTTAAAGTATCTCTCTTAACACAATATTAAAACACACTTGACTAAGCTGGGCATTGGTGGCACACGCCTTTTTTATTCCAGCACTCAGGAGGCAGAGTCAGGCGGATCTCTGTGAGTTCAAGGCCAGCCTGGTCTCCAGAGTGAGTGCCAGGATAGGCTCCACAGCTACACAGAGAAACCCTGTCTCAAAAAAACAAACAAAAAACAAAAAACAAAACAAAACAAAAAAACCACACACACACTTGACTACTTGAATTATTATGCATGTCAATGACATGTCAATCATGTTATCTGCAGCAATACACCAAGAGAAAATATCCTGTGAGAACATTCATTGTTTAAGAGACCACTGTCATCCTGAGGCTCTACCCGGACATGAGAAAGCATGTAACTACCCATTAGTCCCACTCGATAACTTCTGCTACTGATCATAAGCAATGAGCCCTTTCCCCATTCTCCACTGCAGCATGTTTGTCATTTCTTACCTAGAAGAATTGCCATTGGAATGAGATGACCTTCCAGGGCACCTGAAACATTGGGCACTTGTCTGTTTGGGCTGAACAAATACTGCTGGTCACCACGAGGTACTGTGGTGATGGGATATTGTATTTTAGAATCAATTTTCATAGGTTTTGTTGCATCAAAGTCGGTTTGTGTTCTTGCTGACTTGACTTTAGTGCCTGTAATGACCATCGGTAGCAGATATTTAAAAATATGACAAGTATCTACTAAACAGCCACCTAGAAACACAATTCTTTTTCAGCAAGATTTCATTCAACTTAATTAGTTTATAGGGTCTCAAGTAGAAATGACACATAGACCAAAGGTTGGCAAGCTTACTAAATGGCCAGACAGGAATGACTTTGGTCTCACTGGGTGTGTAATCTCAATGGCAACAATTCACCTATGGTGATGTACATGACAGCAGCCATGGTTTATAAGTGAGCATGGATGTGCTCAAATAAAAGCTTACTTCAAACAAAAACCGGGCAGCCCCGTTGCAGACCACAGTTTGCCTGTCCCTGTATACTTGTAGAGAGAGCTACTGTAACACAATACAGTAATTTTTAAAAAGCTAACTAAAGATTCTAAAGAATTTTCCTTCACAATACAAGAAAGCTAATGATCATTTTTTTAGAATAGGATTTCCCCCATTCTCTCATTACACCTTTACTCATTACACAATTCTGAATAACTAGCCTTTATCCCTTGAAATTACATATAGTAATCTAATTCTATACTTATTTAAACCTTACAGAAGTTAATGGTATTGTATATTTTTCTGTCTCCATTATGTAGATCTATGTAGACATTATATTCTAAATTATCGAAATCTTATAAGTTTGTCAGGAATAGTGTTCCAGTACCAGGAGGCTGAAGCAGGAAGACTAAGTTTGAGGACAGTCAGGACTACAATATCAAGAGCCCTATCTTTGAAAACAACAACAACAACAAAAAAAAAAAAACAACTGAACTGGTGGTGGTGCACTCCTTTAATCCTGGCAATTGAGAGACAGAGGCAGATGGATCTCTAAGAGTTCCAGGACAGCCAGGGATACACACACACACACACACACACACACACACACACACACACACAATCTCGGAAAAACAAACACAAACAAAAACACACGTCTCTCAATAAAAATAAATAAATAAATAAATGAGTGGGGTGTGTGGAGAGACGGCTCAGGGCTCAATAAAAATAAATAAATAAATAAATAAATGAGTGGGGTGTGTGGAGAGACGGCTCAGGGGTTGAGAGTGATTGCTGCTCTTCCAGAGGACCTAAGTTCTGTCCCCAGCATACATATTAGGTGGCTCACAACCCAACCACCTGTAGTTCCAGTTCCAGTGGATCTGGCGCCCTCTTCTGGCTTCTGGACACACCAACACATACATAAATAAAAGCAAAAGTAAATCTTAAAAAAAAAAAAAAAAAAAAAAAAAAAAAAAAAAAGAATGGCCAGATCTGGGAGAACACACCTTTAATCCCACCACTTGGAAGTTAGAGGCAGGCAGATCTCTGAGAGTTCAAAGCTGAGTGGTCTACACAGTGAGTTTTAGGACAGCCAGGACTACATAGAGACCTGGTCTCAAAGAAAAACAAATAAACGAGAACAAAACTTAGTTTTTATAGAGAAGAATTTCTTTTCTCCCACAGAGAGGAACTCAGCAGGTAACAAGGCCAAGGATGAACACCATGTCCACAGGCTCTCACTCACTTTTACCTTAAAAGGCTTATTGAAAACAGCTATTTGTTGCAAAGGCTTTCAAAATTCCAAATATAATTTTAAGAATAAATCTCCAATATTTAGGAGAAATATTAGTGTAAATAGTGTAAGTTGTAGGCTTTTAAAAACACTATCAGTAGAATTTGTAGATAATTGATCAGCCAGCATTTGCAAAGGAAGGAGAACTGAGCAACTGCCACAGCTGCAAGCTCCAACTCTAGAAAGGAAAGGAAATGGGCTAGCATCCACTAATTACACTGTTAGTGGAGCTTACTAACCTCTAAGATATAAGGTGAGACACTTAAAAATATAACCAAAATTGAAATACCCTGGAATTAATCGGTACAGGAGACCGCTTCCTGAACATAACACCAGTAGCACAGACTCTGAGATCAACAATTAATAAATGGGACCTCCTGAAATTGAGAAGCTTCTGTAAGGCAAAAGACACAACCAGCAAGACAAAACGACAGACCACAGACTGGGAAAAGATATTCACCAACCCCACATCTGACAGAGGGCTGATCTCCAAAATATACAAAGAACTCAAGAAGCTAGTCTCCAAAACACCAAACAATCCAATTAAAAAATGGGGTACAGAACTAAATAGACAATTCTCAAGAGAGGAATCTAAAATGGCTGAAACACACATAAAGTGCTCAACATCCTTAGCCATCAGGGAAATGCAAATCAAAACAACTCTGAGATACCATCTTACTCCTGTCAGAATGGCTAAAATCAAAAACACCAATGACAGTTTATGCTGGAGAGGATGTGGAGAAAGAGGAACCCTCCTCCACTGCGGGTGGGAGTGCCAACTTGTACAGCCACTTTGGAAATCAGTATGGCAACTCCTCAAGAAAATGGGAATCAGTCTACCACAAGATCCAGCAATTTCACTCCTAGGCAAATACCCAAAAGAAGCACGTTCATATACCAAGGGCATCTGTTCAACCATGTTCATAGCAGCATTATGTGTAATAGCCAGAAACACCGAAGAATGGATGGAGAAAATGTAGTACATTTACACAATGGAGTACTACTCAGCAAAAAAAACAATGGAATCTTGAAATTTGCAGGAAATTGGATGGAACTCAAAGAAACCATTCTGAGCGAGGTAACCCAATCACAAAAAGACAAACATGATATGTACTCACTCATTTGTGGATTTAAGACATAGAGTAAGGGATTACTATCCTACAACCCACACTGCCAGAGATACTAGTAAACAAGGAAGACCCTAAAAGAGACAAACTTTGTCCCCTGGAGAAGGGAAAAGGGTCACCATCCCCTGAACAAATTGAGAACATGCGAAGAGGAGGGAAGAAGCTACGAGAGTGAGAAGGGAAGAAAAGGAAGGATGCAGAGGTCATGAGGAAGCAGAAATTTTGAGTCAGGTGTAGATTAGAAGAAAGGACATATGACAGGTAGGATTTTAGTTGGGGGGATGGTAGAGGAGGAAGGAAGGGAGAAGGGAACTGGGATTGTCATGTAATTCAATCTTGTTTGTAATTCAAATATATAAAAAATAAAAAAATTAAAAAATAATATATACATATGTGTGTGTATATATATATATATATAAATATATATATATCCAAAATGAACAGTTGATATTTAACTAAGTCATATCAAGTAGACCAATGAAATGGCTGACATGAGTCAAAGCACATAATGATAAATGAAAATGTTCTTAGTTAAAAGCCAGCAAGAAACCAATCATCTTTTTGGCTAAGGCTTTTTGTTAACAAAACCACAGAAGTGCCCACAAACAGCTTCACTAGCACTCAACAGATGCTGACACTGGAGCTCTGCTGTCTCCTCCTCCCCCGACTGGACACTATACCTTAAGCCGTGTGCACACCTAACAAATAAAAAGCACTGTCATGTATTAAGCGTGTTCTGTAAATAATGCAGTAAACACAACAAATGAGCTTCCTCACCTTTTACTAGCTCTATTACTTTTGGTCTCTGTGGTTTGGCCTTAGGAGATGGAGAAGTGAATCTGAGATATGGTCCTTTTTTAAGAGTGCTGCGATGGCCCTGATAAACTGGCTTCCCATATATATAATCCTCATCTTGTAAAACTGTGGTTGACCTCGAGAGTCCCTAGGAATGCAAAAAACGATGTTAACACTGCATAAAAGTTTTTACATTACTATGCATATTTTCCGTTCCTAATGCTTAAACACATTTTACATAGTTATGTTTAAATACAATGAACAGTCTTTAAATGACTTTATACACTCCCAGCTCCACTTGCAAACCACAATCAAAATGCCACAGAAATGGACTGGAGAGATGGCTTAACAGTTAAGAGCACAGGCTACTCTTCCAGAGGTCCTGAGTTCAATTCCAGGTACCTCACAACCACCTCCGAGTGTCGTCCTAGAGGATCCAAAGTCCTCTTCTGGCGTGCAGACATACATGCGGACAAAACACCCATACACAGAAATGCAGCATTTATTAAGCACTAGAGCCAAGCATTAAGTTAAGATGCTTCTCTGATCAATAATCCATGCTTAGTATAAAAACATTAATGCCTGGTTAGAGCAGTAAAAAAAATCTCTCCTAGCACCTAGTACAATGTCATGCACTCATTAGGCATTACAAGTAATGTTTAAGTTTAAAATAGAGCACACACAAGAAGATAGAACATGCTTTTCAGTAACATGGATCTGACAAGTAACAGGCAGATGAATAATCTCTAGCTATGCCTACTGTATACTGTGATTCTAAGTATGAGCTCCACAGCTGTGCATGGCACTGTGTGCCTGTCTTTCCAGCTTGGGCAACATATAAAGCCCTGTCTCTTAAAAAACAAACAAACAAACAAACAAACAAACAAACAAAAAACCCCAATGGTACTAGAGGGATGCTTCCATGGTTAAGAATATTGACTGCTCTTCCAGAGGATCTGGGTTCAATTTCTAGCACCCACATGGCAGTGCTCAGCTGTCTATAACTCCAGTTCCAGAAGCTCTGATACCCTCACAACAGGCATACATGCAGGCAAAACACCACTCAATGCTCTTAAAAAATAAATTAACTGGGGCTGGAGAGATGGCTCAGCAGTTAAGAGCACTGACTGCTCTTCCAGAGGTCCTGAGTTCAATTCCCAGCAACCACATGGTGGCTCACAACCAGCCATTATAAAATTATAAGATCTGGTGCCCTCTTCTGGTGTGCAGATATACATGGAAGCAGAATTTTATAAACAAATAAAATCTTTAAAAAAAAAAAATAAAAAAAATTAATTTAAAAACAGACAGAAAAAAAAAAACCTAAGAGGCCTTAGAAGGAGACAAGTACATATTTTATGTGGGTTTCCAAGTTACAAGCCCAAAGTCTTATGTAGTCAACAGTACAAATCTGGTCTAGGTTTGTACAGATCTTCATGGTTTAAAATTTTTCATATCTATCATTATTTCTATCTTTAAGGAAATGACAAGACACAGTGCAGCATCTAAAAACAAAGTCAGATTAGGAACTCACTTCTTTTCTCTCTCTCTGTGAACCTAAAGCATACATGTTCCTTCCAGGCACACTTCTAAACTGCTCCTGTATTTGCTTTTGACAACGTCTTCTTGAAATTACAGATTTGTTCACTGTTTTGTCTTGTATGTTGGCTTTAAAGTCTCCACTCATAGTCAGAGTCTGCTTGCTTCGTTGATTCTTTGAACCAAATCTCTTTTGCTCATAATCTTTTTTGGTAAGTTCGTCCTAAAGCAAAGAGAATTAAAATTACATAAGCCAAAGCAAATAGTAGTGCAGTCACACAAGAAAATATTGGAATTTATTTATTATTTAAATATTGTTTAGTACTTCTAAATGTTTTTAAAATAAAGAATAGTAACTTACACATGAAAAAAAAAAACTTCCTGGAAAAATGAACAAAAACCTAAAAAGACACTAAGCACAGCAGTTCATGCCTGCAACTCCTGCCTCAGAAGACAGGAAGAGCTCCAGCTGGAGGCCAGCCTGGGCTACACAGAGAGATCCTGTCTCATAAAACAAAAGCAAACAAAACAATCCTAAAACTAAAAAGACTACGGGGCATGGGGAGGAGGTAGCAGAAAGAGGACATCACAATGTTTTTATACCTTCAGATGCTTGAATCACATGACGTTAATAAGTTGTTAGAACAACAAATTTAGGCACATAATTTGTAATAAAACTAAGATGACTACATCTAAATTTAAATAATTTGAAGATTTAAATAAACATATCTACATAGAATTAACAGCAATAGGGATATATTTTCCTTGTTGGAATACAGCCAGAGTTCACTTCACCTTTAATCTGGCAAATTATACAATTAAACAAATATATATACATGTATTTATACTTGTTTCTAAGTAACATGGTTTTGTTTGTTCACTGCTGTGGTGCAGAGTTGATATGTCTTCCCCTTGCTACCACCATGAGTAAACATGCAAGCACACTACAGGAAAACAATTGCCTTGCATTCCAAGATAAAAGTAATGGTTACTGTGTCTAGTTCTACACTTCAAATACACAAAACTTAAGAGACTTTTTGATGTCTGAAGACATGCTGTGTCCTTCATGGGTGTGAGAGATTCCTGACTTTTCTGTGCTTTAGTAACTTTGGTGTGTTTACCTTAGTGAATCAATGCTAGTCAATGTGCTGTCTTGAAACATCTTTGCAAGTAAAATTTCATTTTCTGTTTTTGTCAAGTTTTCTTTCAAATTTCTCCTATTTCATTTATTGTCTAAAAGTCTGGCATACAGGAGCCAAATAAAATTTATAAGAATAAAGAGTTCACTTAATAAAACTACACTTACTAATAACTAAATGTAAAGAATGTTAGTGAAATTAAGAGTTGTAAACCAGGCCAGGTATGGTGACAATACCTTTAATCCCAGTACTCAGGAGGCAGAAACAGGTGGATTTTATGGGTATGAGGCCAACTTAGTCTACATAGTGAGTACTAGGACAGCCAGAGCTACATAGTGAGATCAAGTCTCAACAATAACAACAAAACAAAAAACAACAAATCAAAAACCACTACAAACAAACAACAAAATAAGCCAGACCTGGTAGTCTATGAGTTCAAGCCTGGGAAACTAAGTCACTAACTCAGAAAGTCCAAAGTGGAAGCTAGAGAGGCAGTTCAGTGGCTAACAGACCCTGATGGGTTTCTGAAGGACCTGAGCTCAGTTCCCAGCAACCAAACTGGGCGGCTCATAATCACCTGTTACTCCAGCTCCAGGGCGCCCAATGCCCTCTTCTAGCCTCTGTGGGCCCTGCACACATTTGGCATATAACCATATAGACACGAACACATACAAACATAAGTAAGAATAAATCTTTTAAAAAGTAAAAAATGAGTGAGGGATTTAACAGCACATGTCTAGCATGAGACAGGCCCTTGGTTCAGGCCTCAGTACTGCAAAAAGGAAAAAAAAGCCTCATGAGTGGACTTATACATTTATGCTCTTGATTTCATTTTTCCCATGACATACCTGGATTTCTGCTGAAATAATCTGAATCCAGTCATCTACTTGCTTTCTGATCCTAATTTTCTCTGATATCTCTCTACAAAGGGAAAAAGAAATGTTCTTACAACAGCCTTGATATACGAGGATAGGAAGCAGGATGGGGTGAGTCCAATCTAGTTTTAAAGCTACTGTGTACCCAATACCCTTCCTGAGAAAACAGAAAGTGATGGAATTAGCCTTCATTAAGTGTTAGGAGGAAAATGTTTGTGAAGAACTGAAGGAGAGAACTATCAGGAAGAGGAAAAATGAAATGGAAAATTATAATCAGTAAAACCATGTCTATCCACATCAGAGGCAATGGGGGCCTTTTCCAAACATGAAAATACAATAGCACAGTGAGTACTTAGAAAAGAAATTCAGAAAGTAGACCTGTGAGGCTAGAAAGACAGCTCAGCAGGTGAGAGCACTTGGGTTCAGTTCCCAACACTCACTGACAACCATCCCTAAGTCCAGATCCAGGGGATCATCCTTAAGTCCAGCTCCAGGGGACCATCCCTAAGTCCAGCTCCAGGGGATCCCTCTTCTGAACTCTATGGGCACTGGGCACACATGGCATTTACACATACGTGCAGGCAAAACACTCCTGCACATAAATGAATCTTTAAGGAAGAAAGTTAGTAAGCAGATATGGCAACTTCATAAATGCCCACATCCTGCCTCACCTATTGGTGGATAAAGCATTGATGAAGGAATACACAGCAGCTCCATCCTTTGCACGAATAATAGCTTCCAGGTTTTCTTCTAGCACTTTTTTATTGTTTTGTACGCCTCTCAAAATCTTCTCAGCGTCTCTCAAGACAGATCTTGTATTGGTTGTCTGAAGCTTAACAGGCTTCTCTGGAAGATCTGAAAACTTCAAGATAATTGGAGACTGTTTTACCTTAAAAGAAAAAGAAGGCAGAAAAGTTACTATGTTAAACTTAACATTGATTTTACTCTGAAGAAGAAAGGCTGGAAAAATGGCACAGCAGTTTCTGAATATACACTGCTCTTCCAGAGGACTGGAGTTTATTTCCTAGCATTCACATTAGGTGGTTCCATACCACATATGACTCCAGTTCTAGGAGGTTATCTAACATACTCTTTTGGCTTCCTTGGGCACTCACATACATTTTGGGCATATGTGCCCTCCCCACTCCCCCCACACACTCGTAAGTATTTAATGCAAAGAAGTGCTAGCTAGTAGTACATTGTTGCAACCATACACTAGAACCAAAATGGTCTACCCAGAGTTCAGTTTGTCCAAATGAAAAGTTACTGAATACTAGCACTCTGGTTTGTTTTCCACTTAAAGAAATTACAAATATTACATGCAATAGAGACAGGAACTCCAGAGCAGTGCTAGGTCATCTGATCATCCATGAAAGCTCTACTGGTGAAGAAAGCAAAACAAAACAAAGAGCAAGCTGCTACAGATATGTGGTCTGGATAGACAAGGGCTGTCCACAACCCTGTCATTCTTCCTTACACTCCTTTATTAGCCAGAAAGGCAAGGGCAGGTGAGGTGGCACACTGCCAAAATCCTTCACTTCGGTGGCAAAGAAAGGATGATGACTAAATTTGAAGACAATATGGTTTAAAAGCAACTCAAGGGCTATAAACTAAAATGGCCTCAAAAGCACAAAAGAAAAAAGAGAGGTTAGAAGGTGGGAAATGGTTGATGGCACAGGTCTGGCCAGAGTGCTCAGAAGAAACCTTTCAGTAGAGACTTCTGAAAACTTTTTGTAAAGGGACCAAATCTGACAATCATGTTTTTAGTGCTTTATTTTCATCCTTCCTCCTGATTTCTACTTAAATGACTTTATTTCTTCTGTTTGTTTGCATTTCTAGAAATGTATTACTATTACATTTCACTAGGTGTATAGACACACACACTGCATTATCTGTTTGTCTTTGAGACAGAGTCTGATGTAGCACAGGCTGGCCTCAAACATACTATACAGGCCAGGACGACATTGAACTTCTGATTTTCCTGCATCCACCTCCACAGTGCTGGGATTGCAAGTGTATGCCAACATGCCCAGTTTCACACAGTGCTGGGACTAAATCCAAAACTTCATGCTTCTGCCTGACTGAGCTACAGCCCTATTTCACACTTTACCTGGAGCATGTCATTTGTTTGTTTCTTCTTCTGGCCAAGATCATGAACATCATCATTATACTTTTGCATTGCTACTTTAGCTGTTCCTAGCTCTTCAGAAGAAGGAAATCTCTGTGAATGTAGAGTTTCAATGCTACAAAAGATAAGAAAAAACCTCCTAAGTTGTCATAAACTCAGAAAGCATTTTATACATATGGGCGTTCTGCCTGCATGTACACCTGTGCACCATGGTGTCTGGTGTCTCAGGAGGTCAGGACTTAGAGCTACAACAGCTACAACTGCCACTGGATGCTCAGAACTGAACTCAGGTCCCCTATAAGAGCAGCCAGTGCTCCTAACCACTGAGCCAGTTCTCCAGTGCAAAAAAACATTTGATGACATGAATCTCAGACACATTCTGAGGCATGAAATGCAAGATAGCATTGTACTAAAATAATGCCATAATTTAATCAGTTATATTATAAACATAATAAACAAAGAGAAATTTGATCAGAAATACTTATGTGCATCAAGGAAAACAGCAGAAAACAGCCCTGCTTACAAGAAGCTAAGATTCGGGTGCACTTATGGAACAGTGGAGAAGGGACGCTTGCAGCCCTCTTTTTCCCTTCACAACTCTAGAAATGAAAGGCCTGCAACAACCCAAGGAGAATTTAGCAAAACAGTTGATTCTGAGTCAGAGTAGCAAGCTGTACACATTTGGTTTTGTGAGACAGGGTCTAACTATCTAGCTCCAGCTATATTGGAACTCGCTCTGGAGACTAGAGATCTGCAGCCTAATTCGTGCACCTCCATGTCCAGCTCAAACATTTGTTTTAAACTCACCCATTCTTAAGAGTCATTTCCCAACTTTGCAGTCTTGAAAACCATTAACTTCACCCATGGAAAGGCAAAGAACAGGTTCTCTGTGCGTCCATCCAGTTTATCGAGCTCATCAGTATATAGCCTAATCATACTGAGCTGAACGCAAACTCTTTCCTCGGGATATTTTGAACAACAGGGACAACTGCGTGGTACCAGAAGTAGCTCAGTGATAGCAACCGAAGCAAACAAGATTGTGGCCAATAACATTTTAAATCTAAGTAATGAGACAACTATCTCGAAGCACTGATACGTTCCACCGCATCCCTGGGGTCTTTGGAAGATCATATGCTCATAGAGGGTTGTGCTTGCCTAGGAAAGCCCAGAGGAGATCTGAACCTCTCACAAGTAGCTGACAGGCTCTGCACAAGTAGGAAGTGAACACACAAAGGAAATTTTTCAGTTCAAAGTAGAAAAATCTGTTTCACATCACTAATAGACTAAACTAACAAAGTAAACAATTCAGTGTGTTCACAAGACAAAGAATTCAGATTCCAGACTTGGTTCAACTAAGTCACTAAACCACCAGCATGGACACAAATAACCTGAAAATAATAACTCCTAGAAGACTCTGAGTCTCTGTACTATATGTTTTTGTTGGTGGTGGTTTGCTTGTTTGAAGCAGGGTTTCTCTGTGTAGCCCTACCTGTCCTAGAACACACTCTGTAGACCAAGCTGGCCTCAAACTCAGAGACCCTCCTGCCTCTGCCTCCTGAGTTCTGGGACTAAAGGTGGGCACCATTACAGCCTGACCACTGTACTATTTCAGATACTTAGTTTTCATTTTTAAAAAAACCAATAAATATGTTTAATTTATTATATATACATGTCTCAATACATACATACACATTAGATAGGTAGAAAGATAGAAAGAAAGAAAGAAAGAAAGAAAGAAAGAAAGAAAGAAAGAAAGAAAGGAGATAGACAGACAGACAGACAGATAAATCGATCTCACATAAAGCAATAGGAAATTACAGCCCAGACATGGGAGAAATACAGTTCCTTTTAGAGAAAGCCCACACACTGGACTTATCAGAAAGAATCTACTAAAAAGAAAAATAAGTCCTTCCTTTCTTTCTTGGCAGACTGAGCCTACGGTACCATGAATGCCAGGCCAAGTACTCTAAAACTGAGCTATTTACTGCTTACTTTATATTTTTTATTTTGAGTCATGGTTTCACTAATTTACCCAGGCTGGCCTTGAACTCATTCTAGCCTAGGCAAACCTTGCATTTGTGACTCAGATTACTGAGCAACTGGGATAATAGGCCTGTACTATTTAATGCCCAGAATATTAAGAATGAACTCTAAAGCCAGGTAGTAGTGGTGCACAAGCCTTTAATCCTAGCACTCAGGAGGCAGAGGCAGGGGGATCTGTGTGAGTTTGAGGTCAGCCTGGTCTACAGCCAATAATGTCAAACAATTGGGTACTTGAGAATTCATGACAGTCCCATGGCTCCAAGATGTTATAAATGGTAAAGTTCTACAAATATCTATCATTATTCCAAGTCTTCCTCCCTCCTCCTTTTTTCGTTCCACTGAGACACAAAGAACACACCTCCTACAGGCTCATAAAGGATTTCATGATTTAGCATGAAATTTCTGTTTATGCTGATGGCACTAGATTCATCAGAGGCCATTTACAGATGTAAGAAAAATTCAGACACAGTTCCAGTCCTGCTTTCCATAGCAAACACAGATCGCAATACAAATGACTGTCAGTTCTTTATCACCCTTTGTAACTATGAAGGATGGATAGGAAGCACACAGTATCTGGGAAGATCATCAGTGGATTTCCAGTGATAAGAAAAAGATTCAGAAAGTTCTTACAAGCCTTAACAATAAATCAAAACTACCTAAAACTGAGCTGGTGGGAAATGCATTGCAGACTAAGAATGAATCTGATACCCCCTTGCTTGGGTGACGCTCTTTTGTCAGGTAAGCTGGACTTCCCCTTTGTTTGCTACCCTACCCAATATAAGAGGCAAAGAATTGCCTCAGCTCAAGGCCAGCCTGGCCTACAAAGCAAGTTTCAGGACAATCAGGACCACACAGAGTCCCTGTCATAGAACACACACACACACACACATACACACACACACACACACACACAAGAAGAAGCAACAGAGACCCCAGAAGTATTAGATTAAAAAAATAAGATTTTTTTTATTTTTTTAATTAAAAAAATTTAAAAATTAAATTTAAAAATTAAAAAAATTATTAATAAGAAGTGTAAATACAAAGTTTTTTTTGTTTTTTGTTTTTTGTTTTTTTTGCTAAAAATTAGACAGAAAATTGAACAGAGCCTCAGAGACATGGGACACCATGAAGCACGCCAATGATTCCTACAGCAAAGTCCTAGAAGGACAGGAGAGGTCATCAATACCGTCTAACTATATAAAGAAATAATAGACTTAAACTCTCCAAGTTTAATGAAAATTAACTTATTCATTTAAGAAACTCAACAAACTGCAAGCAGGACAAACTCAAAGATAAGCCATTCCTAACTAGAGATCATTTTGTTAAGTTAAATAAGCCAGACTCAGAAGGACAATTACCATATAAAAAAATTTAAAATGTGTGTGTGTGTGTGTGTGTGTGTGTGTGTGTGTGTGTGTGTGTCGGAACAGAAAGGGAACCATTAGAGGAAGTAAAAGAGGGAGGTAGTCAGCCAGGGAAAGGGAAACAGGGAAGGGGGAAGAAATTGGGGAAAGAAAGGTCTTGAGGAGGGGGACAGCTAAGAACAAACTATACTGACATTTATGTATGAAAACTTAAAAAGAAAAAAAAACATAAGAACCACATTGTAGTCAAATTTAATTTGTCAAGAGTCTACAACAAAAAGAATCTTAAAAGTTACAAAAGAAGAGTAACTGGTCATGTGCAGGGAGTCCTCAACAAGACTGGTCCTGGATTCGCACCAGCACAGTGCAATCTAAAAGGCAACGGACGCCAGAGACAGGCATGCAAAGAAGCGTAGACTTCCACAAGCCAAGCAAGGATGGCAAAGAAGTTAGGCCTCTTTTCACCTTCATCTTGGAATTTATTGCTCTGTCCTAGCAATAATAATATTAGTAATAATAAAGGAGTTAAAGATGATCCCAGATAAACAAAAGTAGAGCAAAGTCATTACTAGCAGAGATAACCTACAAAAAACAATAAATAAAAGAATCTTTCATGTGGAACAAAAAGACACTAAACTCTAGCTAGGCGTTGGTGGTGCACACCTTTAATCCCAGCACTCAGCTGAGGCAGGCAGATCTCCGTGAATTTGAGACCAGCCTGGTCTACAAGAGCTAGTTCCAGGACAGCCTCCAAAGCCACACAGAAACTCTGTCTCGAAAAAGGACACTAGACTCTAATCTGGATCTATTCAAAGCAATGAAGAATATCAAAAAAAGGTAAACTATAAAGGTAAGTATTAAAAATGTCTGTAGAAGAAAGATGTGGTGACACATGTCCCTAACTACAGCAGTCGGAAAGTTTGAGGCCAGCCTGGTCTACCCAGAGTTCTAGACCAGCCAGAGCTGCATAGTAAGACACTGTCTCAAAAACAAACAAATGTGCATTTCTGTAACGTTTTTTCTGTTTTAAAGTCTGCTGTATGGGGACTAGAGAACTATCTCAGCATTTAAGAGCACCTGCTGCTTTTGCATAGGACCTAGGTTTGATCCCAAGAATCCATATCAAGTGGCCCAAATCTGCCTTTAAGTTCCAGGGAATCTGTCGCCCTCTTCTGGCCAAAAAAAAAAAAATACAGCTGCATGGAGTACAGTTACCAACCTGTACAGTTGGTCTCATAAAAATAAACTTTTCTGATCATTCAGTAGAAGGAAAGGGAAGAAATTTTCACTATGCAGAAATTAAATGGATATTAAGCTGACTGAGGTAATTTTAAATTAGTATCTCTGGGGTAATCACTAAGAAAGTAACACCACATGTAGCAAAGAAAATGACAAAGAATGAAATGGTATACCAGGAGGCAACTAATACAGAGGAGCAGCGCAATAAGACACTCGAAAGGCACACAGCAATACGGCACACATAAGACATTAAACAAGTTAAAATTATGTCATATTCCCAAATAAAATCACTCAGATTGAAGCTTTTGTTGTTTGTTTGTTTTGTTTTTTCGAGACAGGGTTTCCCTGTGGCTTTGGAGGCTGTCCTGAAACTCGCTCTGTAAACCAGGCTAGTCTCAAACTCATGGACATCCATCTGCCTCTGCCTCCGAGTGCTGAGACTAAAGGCATGCACCACCACTGCCCGGCCGATTGAAGCTTTTTAAGGCTTTTCCTTACAACAGTTTTTATCACATTAAAGTTAATATAATTATTATAATTTCAATTTACTTGATCTTAACCTTTTAAACTATTATTCACTCTCTTGAGTGACCCCAGAGCCTCATGCATACTGAACGAGTCCTCTACTGTCACTAAGTTGGACCTCAAGCCTGAAAGCAAGCTGTATGCAAAATTTCAAATATACTCAAGTAGAGAAAGAGTACAATGACCTCTTTGTGAACTATTATTCTCAAAGTTGCCTTCATTTATTCTACACCCTACCCACTTTCTCCTCCCTGACATCATAGTAAGGCTACATATCATGACATCAGAATCTGCCCTTGTTAGAAATTAACCTATATTTCTAAATCAAATACTTTAAAAAGCAGTGATGCAATTATATTCCTAAAGAAAATGTAGAATTCTGACCAAAGCTCTTTCTAGTCCAACTAGTTCCAATCTCTTGGTTTTACCTGTCTCTTTTCTCAGAACTCCATCCTGTTTTTGACCTAGATAGTGAGGTCATGTCGGATGATTCACTTTTTCTTGTCAAAGAATCATTAGTATTCAGTATTTGTTCCAACAGTTTTACATTTCCTAAAACAGAAAAAATACAATACTGTTTTCCAAATTAGTTCATTTCTCCTTTATATTCTACCTCATGGGTATTGGCACTTTAGCCTAAACTAGGTTCTTACGATGACTGACTTCTCAACTCACTCTGTACCCACTATGGTTCTTTTGTACATATTCCCTGTCTCTGAGCTGGAAGCTTAGTTCTCAAGGATACATAGTAATGGTGTCTGAAATGTGGAGTCTTCCTGACAGGACGGGTCATACAGGTTCTGCTCTCATGAGCGGGTTAGTGGGTTATCAGAGGAGGAACTCTGTCATAGAGAAAGCTTCCTCTGGCTAGCCTGCTTTCTTGCCATGGAATGCCTCCCACCATATCATGACCCAGCAGGGGGTCAGGGCAAGAAGATCCACCCAAGGTCATACTTCCAAACTTCTGGAATAGTGAGCTAAATAAACCTCTTCTTTATAAATTACCTAACCTGTAGAGTTCAGTTATTGCACCCGAAAATAAGCCAAGATGCCCAAGTGATGGTGGTGTATGACTTTAATCCCAGTACTCAAGAGGCAGAAACAGGTAGATCTCTGTGAGTTCGAGGCCAGTCTGGTCTACAGAGCAAGTTCTAGGACAGGCTCCAAAGCAACAGAGAAACCCTGTCTCAAAGAGAGAGGGGGGGAGGAGAGGGAGAGGGAGAGAGAAAAAGAGGGAGGGAGGGAAGGAGGGAGGGGAGAGAGAGAGAAAGAAAAAAAGAAGGAAAGAGAGCCAAGACAACAATATAGTCATCAAGTAAGACAAAATATTTGCATCTTACTAAAAACTAGAGTTGTAAATATTGTATTATTGGATTAATAAAAAGACTACACTTATCTCTATCAGAGAGTAAGGTTCTTGTTTTGACACACACACACACACACACACACACACACACACACACACACACACACACGTATTTTGACAAAGCTTCTCTGTGTAGCCTTGGCTGTTGTCCTGAAACTCACTTTGTAGACCAGGCTGGCCTCAAACTCAAAGATTCCCCTGCCTCTGCCTCCCAATGCTGGGGTTAAAGGTGTGCACCACCCCTGCCTGGTTAAGTTATTGAACCTTTAAAAGACAAAAGTAGCTGGCAGAGTGAGTCACAGGGAACAGGCTTTGAGTTTCTGGACTGTCTGCTGTCTGCTTTGACTATAGATTCAACATGACCACCATCTAAGCAACCACCTTGCTCGCACCCCTTGCCCCTGCTTTCCCACACTGGGATATATCCCTTCTCACACCATGGGCTAAAATAAACACTGCCTTCCTTAAGTAGCTCCCTGTCAGGTATTTGGTCACAGCATTAAGAAAAAAAACTAATACAAAGCTGAACACTCATCCTAAGTGATTTCCTACCTTTAGGACTTGACATTTCCATATTTTCTTTTTCTTCTATGGGGTTTTCCCTCTTTGATATTTTTCCATCCTTTGAAACAGGCACAGGAGCAAACCTGCGAGGTGCTGGTGTCTCTAAAGGAGATTTCTGCACATCAAAACCTGTATCTTCATCTTCTCTTAAAGGCACTTTAACAGAAAGGAAGGAAATGATGAACATAGGCTTGTGGTGTCTCTAGCGTAAAAGTGCTTCCTAGCATTCACAAGGTCCTGGGTTCAATTCCTAAGCACCATGGATATATATACACAGAACTAATAATCACAATAATAAAGATTAAATTTAACTTCAAAAACTTTTTATCTGATGGCAGAATTTGAAGCCAGCCTATTCTATGTAGAGAGTTCAGAATAGCCAGGGTTACACAGTAAGACACTGTTTCAAAACTTAATTTTAATTAAGAAAACAACTTTTTTGAGCACAACTGGTAAAGTACTTGCCTTATAAGCATGGGAAGAGGAGTTCAATCTCCAGAACCCACATAAAAAAAAAAAAGTGTGGTGGCATGTGCTCGGAAGGCAGAGGTAACAGATCCCTGGAGCTCTCAAACAACAAACCTTTTTTTTTTTTTTTTTTTTTTTTTTTTTTTTTTTTTTTTTGTCAAGTTGCAGGTCAGTAGAAACCCTGTCTCAAAAAATGTGGAACTGGGCATGGTGGTGCATGCCTTTGATGCCAGCACTCAGGAGGCAGCGGACCTCTCTGAGCCCAAGGCCAACCCTGTTTACATAGCAAACTCCAGGACAGCCAGGAATTCTACACTGAGACCTTATCTCAAAGAAAGAAAGAAACTTCATCCTCATTTGAAATCAAAATAAATGAAAACTAAAAATATTTTATAAAGCTAGTAAATTAAGAATCACTGTAATAATATTTGAGCATTGTCAAAGCTATGGTAAAAATGGCATTGCTAAACATTTTTCTAAAAAAAAAAAAAAAATTGTGTATGAGTGCTTAGCCTGTAAGTGCATTGTGTGTGTGGCCTGGTGCCTGTGAAGGCCAGAAAAGGGCATTGGATCTGCTAGGACTGAACTTATGGATGTTAGCCACCATGTGGGTGCTGGGAGTTGAAATTGGGTCCTCTGCAGGAGCAGGAGGTTCTCTCTCTCTCTCTCTCTCTCTCTCTCTCTCTCTCTCTCTCTCTCACACACTCTGTCATCAATGCCAGTAGAGGCCAGAAGAGGGCACTGGATCCCCTGAAACTGGGGCAGTTATAAATTATTGCTCTGAAATGGACCTGGGTCTCCTCTAAAAGTAGCCAGTGCTCTTAATCACTGAGCCATCACTCTGGCACCACTAGACACTTTCAATGGCAATGAAAACTGATAATTTACCCTGTGGAAGTAAGACTAAGAAGGAAAATGCTAACTCAGCATGCTGGCTGGCACACTCTTGTAGTCCCATCACTTGTGAGACTCAGGCAGGAATGGCACCATCAGCTCTAGCCAGCTTGCACTACAATATAAAACCCTGCCTCAAGAACAAAATCACTCCTACAACTACCTAACTGCCAGCACCACAGTGGCAGAGAACCTACAGTATTTAACTGTGCTTATCTCAGTTCCTTCTGACCAAACCAAGGAAATCAGGGAGCACACAGCTTCTCAGAGGACAAGACAATTATTATAAGCATTCCGGATCCCAGATAAGTGAATTTTTTTTTTCTTTTTCTTTTTTCTTTTTCTTTTTTCCAAGACAAGGCTTCTCTGTGTAACAGCTCTGGCTCTCCTGGAACTCACTCTGTAGACCAAGCTAGCCTCGAATTCAGAGATCCACCTGCCTCTGTCTCCTGAGTGCTGGGATTAAAGATGTGTGCACCACCCACCACCCGGCAATAAGTTGATTTTTTTTCTCAATTTCTACATTTCTAACAATTTTTCAAGTTATCAATTAGAACCATAAATTAGGGATTATTATGATTCATAATTTAAGCAACCTTTGAAAGAACCTAAAATTTATTTGAGCCAAAAAAGATATAAAACCAAGATTTCCAAAAATAAATTTTGTTCCTGAAAGTGTCCAACTACTTTATAAGTAAATTTTCAACTTTTACAAATGAAGAACATTCACAGATGGCACATTTTATTCACAAGACACAAGCATTTTACCTTGTTTAGAAACAAATGTGTTGTGTGAAGAAACACTGCTCCCAAGATTAGGATGTGCTGGCTTTCCAGAGTGCTTCCCCCCTGCTCCAGAAGGGGGCGTGCCAACAGGTTGAAGACTATTAGCCTTGAGAGCAGCATCAATAAAATGGGTCTGGAAGAAATACAATTATTTTATTAACTTCAAATTATTTTACATACAATTTGAAGATATCGAATGACAAGATATATTGAGATTTAGCAGAATTGAAAAGGGCTTATTATACTTAACATACAATGAAAATGTGGGACACATATATATACAGGCATAACACTCATAAACATAAAAAATAAACTTTGAAGCTATACATGAAATGTATATTTTAACAAATAAAGCTGATTTCAGAAGAAAGTTTATGGCATGTTAAAAAATACTAAATTATTCATAAATTATTCATAGTTTTACAGAACTCATAAAAGTGTATTGAGATCCCTCTAAATAAAGCAGATGGGGACAGACTCAACTACTTAATTTCGCTAGACATATTAAATAATGTACCTCACATGTCATCATGATTTCAGCTTTCTATGATTACAAGTTATATAGATAGACATAGGGAGTTCTAGGCCAGACAGGACTATACAGTAAGACTGTCTTTAAAAAAACAGAAACAACTGGGCCGGTCATTGGTGGCACATGCCTTTAGTCCCAGCACTCAGGAGGCAGAGGCAGGAGGATCTCTGTGAGTTTGAGTCTAGCCTGATCTACACAGTGAGTTCCAGGACAGCCTCCAAAACAATACAGAGAAACCCGACTGGGTGGGATGGGGGGGGGTGTGCACGACACAAAACCAGTTTTTAAGCAAAGAGGTCAAGGTCCGGAGAAGTAAAGCTATTCCCAAAAGAAGGCCCAGCAGTCTAAGTCATCCCAGCTTCTCAGCAGACAATGTACTACACACTCAGCCCACACCTTATTTGCATGCCTATGATCATGTCAGGAAAATATTCTTTATCTCATGAAAACCTTAAGATAATCCCTAAGAAGTCCTGTGTAGGGGGCTGGACAGGTGGCTCAATGGTTAAGAATATGGACTGCTCTTCCAGAAGACCCAGGTTTAATTCATAGCACCCACATACAGCTCACAACAGTCAGTAACTCCAGGTCCAGGGCTTCTGACAAAACACCAATAAACAGCAATAAAAACAAACAACAACTACCAGGAGAGGCAAGAACATCCATATCTGCAGACATTGAAGTCTTGGCCTACACACAACACCAGGTGACAAGAGGAGATAAAGAGACCCCCACCTGCACCCACTGGAAGAAGAGATGGGAAGAAGGCAGAATAAGAACACACTCAACAGAAAGACCAATATGACACCAGCAGAATCTAAGGACTCCACACCAGCAAGATCTGAAAAGCACAACACAGAGGAAGAAGAGACACTTAAAAATCTACTTCATGAAGATGTTGGAGACCCTTAAAGAGGAAACAAGAAAATCTCTTAAAGAATACAAGAAAAAACAAACAAAAAATTCAAGAAATAAGTAATTCTCTTAAAGAATCTAAAGAAAAAACAACCAAACAAGCGAAGGAAGCACTGGAAACAGTTCAAGGCATGAAAGCTGAAATAGAAACAATAAAGAAAACACAGAATGAGGGGATGCTGGAAATAAAGGCTGAATAAAAGATCAGGATCTAAGGATGTGAGTATAACTAATAGAATACAAGAGATGGAAGAGAGAATCTCAGTTGTTGAAGACTAGCTAGAGGATATACAGTCATTGATCAAGGAAAATCCCAAGTCCAACAAATCTCTAACACAAAATATCCAGGAAATAAGGGACACCGTGAAAAGGCTGAATCTAAGAATAATAGGTATAGAAGAAGGTGAAGAAATACAGGCCAAAGAGCCCTCATCCAGTGGCTGATGGAAGCAGAGGCAGACATCCACTGATATACACTGAACTGAACTCTGGAACTTAGTTGCAGAGAGGGAGGAATGAAGATCAAAGGGGTCGGTACCAAGCTGGTAAAACCCACAGAATCAGCTGGCCTGAACAAGGGGGAGCACATGGACCCCCCAGACTGCTGTCTGGGAGGCCACCATAGGACTGAATCAGACCCCTGAACATGGAGGTCAATGGAGGAGGCCTCCGCACTCTAGGGGGCCCCTGGTAGTGGATTAGTATTTTTTCCTGGTGTAAGAAGGGACTTTGAGAGCCCATCCCATGTGAAAGGATGCACTCTTGGCCTGGACACAAGGGGGAGGACCTAGGACCAGACCAGGGTGATGCGGTGGACTTTGGGGAGTCCCTGTTGAGGGCCCTACCCTGCCTGGGGAGTTGAGGGTGGATGGGGTGGGGCCAATTTGAACTAATAAAAAAAATTTTTAAATAAAAAACAAACAACATACACACAAACCCATCAAAGCACATAAAATAAAAGTATTTTTTTTTAAAAAGTAGTTTTTGAGAAACAGGAATATAGAAACAAAAGTCTTGAAATGAAAGCATTTAAGTGTTTACTTTTGATAATATATTAATAGAATAAACTTATTTTATACATTCCTTTGTTACATTTTAATATAATTTTTTAAACTTCAAAATTGTGCAATTAAAAAGAAATGTAGGGCCGGGAGGTGGTGGCGCACGCCTTTAATCCCAGCACTTGGGAGGCAGA